GACACGGGCCGCCCGCTCACGACGACAGGGAGCGCAGGCACCGGCGCAGGAAGTGAGTGGGCTCCGGGAGGGATCTGGGTGCCCAGGTGGGCCTTCAACTCTCTCCGGGCCGAAGAGTTTCCCTAGTAGCTTAGGGTGACAGTCACTAGGCCCAGCATCCTGTAAGATTCGGGGATGTACCCCCAGTGGCCACAGCCGGGTTAGCAGATGGGGAAACAGATGCAGTTCAGGGCTAGAATGAACCCAGGGCCTCATATTCTGTGTAAGAGTCACGCCCCTCACTGGAGGATTTTAGGATGGCTCTCTGCAGCAGAGCCATCCTGTCACAGAGGAATTCTAGCCTGGCACTCTATCACTGAGCCACACCTAGCTCCGCACCAGGGAACTCTAGGCCAGCCCTCTACTGCTGAGCCACGCCCTGAGCCCTTTACTGCAGGATTCTAAGCAGGGACTCCACCAAGGAACTATATACCCCATCTCAGCGTTATATACAAAAAGTCTAGGAGCCGGGCGTTGGTGGCGCACGCCTTTAATCCCAGCACTTGGGAAGCAGAGGCAGGCGGATCTCTGTGAGTTCGAGGCCAGCCTGGTCTCCAGAGCGAGTGCCAGGATAGGCTCCAAAGCTACACAGAGAAACCCTATCTCGGAAAAAAAAAAAAAAAAAAAGTCTAGGACCCTGCCATCTGTCGTCTTACACAAACAGACCTAAGGAGAGCCCGTAGTCCCCACGAGATTCCTACAGCTTTTTCATTGTTTGCTGCTTACTCTTGAACCGGTGCACTCTTGACATCAGTGTTCTCCCCTGAGGATGTAACTACCTAGAAATGACTGAGTCGTTGCTAGAATTAAATAAGTCACCTCCAACGGCTCACATGGGCTGTAGGGCGTGTGAAGCACTGGGGACTCAGCACCTGCAACTGTCATTTTGCCAGCCCTTTGCTTACTTGAGGGTGGTCATGGGAATCTGATCTCTCAGACATAAGGGGAGGTATCGTCTGTGACAGTATACCCGACCAGTAGCCACGTTTTCTTATCCTTCTCATAACATTTTGTAGTGCTTATGGAAGACCCTGAAGTGATTCTCTATAGAGAGCCCAGGGACTTCTGTGTTGATAGAGACATCCTGTTATAAAACACTGTCCTCAAGCCAACTGTGATGTCACTCCTGTGATCCCAATACTTAGGAGGTGGGGCAGGAGGATCTGGACTTCAAGGCCAACCTTAGCTGCATAATGAGTTTGAGACCACCCTGGACTACATGAGAACCTAAATAATAATAATTATTACTATTACTTTTTGTTTTTAATGTCCTCTTGATCCTCCTTCATATTGCTATGAGAGCTTCACACTGGTTTCTTGGCCCAGGCCTTGGGAAAGGGACATTTGTACAACCTATAAGAGTGAGCTTTCTCTCCTCCTGCTGTGTGAGTCCTGAGATGTCAGGTGTCTTCCAGCCCGTATGACATCGCTTGTCACTAGATGGGACTCGGGCTTCAGTGAAGCCATGAGACTCCGAGTGCCTAACAAGAGGAGATCAGCACAGGTCCCAGGACCACATACTGAGTATGTAGAGGTCTCAACTGAATGACTTTAGACAAGGATCTGTAGACAAAAGTCACTACCAGGTAGGCAGGGGGTCCACAAGTTCAGAACAGCCTGGGATACACAGGGAAATCCTGACTCGGAGATGGAGAGAAGTGAGAAAGTTGGGGTGAGGAGGAAGAGGATAGCTGTCTTCCTGGAGGGCTAGTCCTGGCTGTGGAGACCAACCAGCACTCCTGCTTCCCACTGCCAGTGTCCACGGCACCTTCAGTTATTACAGCACTGCGTCTGTTCCCGAGGTTCTCCCTTCAACACCATTGTTCCAAATCATCCTTCCCTGGTTTTCTCTCCTGAGTGTTTCCCTCCGCTCAGTGAAGGTGTGAGCTGTATTTTAGCCCAGGCTGTGAATTCCAGCCAGTACTCCAGGCAGTGGGGGCCTACAGAGTTGGCTTCGTCCGTTTCCATTGCTATAACCAAATGCCTGAGGTCAGGTTACTTATTCATAAAGAGTGGAAGTTTATCCAATGTCTTGTTTGGAGGCTGCAGTTGCAGAGCACGTGCCAGCCCCTCTGAGGGCTTCTTGCTACATCCACCAGACATGATAAGGCACTCCATGGTGACCATCCTCTTTTTCCTCTTAGAATGCCACCAATGCCATCTTCGGGGCCCTACCCTTGAGACCTTATCTAGCCCCAGTTACCTCCCAAATCTCCTCTGAACACTATCCTCATGTATGCCAGTACATGAGTTTGGGTAGATGGGGCAAATACATTAAAACTGTAGCCAAGGCACTCTGAGAAATGTGGCCAAGATGGGCAGACCACAAGAAGAGCAGTTAGAGAAAAGTGGAGAGTTTCAGGCAAGAACAGTACATGTTTAGGTCCTGGGGTCACTCTGAAGACAGCCAGCTTACAGGACAGTGAGGAAAGGTGGGCAGAGAGCCAGAGATGGGTTAGTAGGACCCTGAGTCCCTTAAGAGGGTAAGGAGCAGCTGAAGGTGTGAGAAAAAACATTGTCCTTGTATTGTGTCTGCTGCTGCTGTGCTGAAGGAGGCAGAGTGATGAGGACAGAATGGCTGTGTTCTGGGAGGAGGGTTTTCTGTTGTTCTGAGATGGGACCTCAGGTGGCCCAGGCTGACCTTGAACTCACGGTATAGCCGAGGCCAGCCTGTCACTCCTGGTCCTCCTGCTTCTGCCTCCCAAGTGCTGGGATTACAGGCATGCACCACCACATCAGGTTTTATTTGGTGCTGTGCTTGGAACCCAGGGCTTTGCTCACACTAGGCAAGCACCCTTATCAGTTGAGCCACACTCCATCCCTCCAAGAGGAGTTTTTAAAGGTCTCTAAATGTTGAATGTCAGTCACACCAAGAGCAGAACCTGGTGCTAAAATGCAGGGACTCTGAATACTCCTGCCAATCGCTGCCTGGCTGTGTGGCTTTCAGATGTCACTGTACCTCTCTGGTCCTCATTTCTTCATCTACAAATAGAATGAACAGTAGATTAGAATGTACAGGTTTAAACGGGGGGGGGGGGGAAGACATATAAACTGTGTTGTGTGGTGCTGAGCCAACAGCAAGTACTCAGTAAATGTTAGCATGGTTGGAATTAGCAGTTGTAAGTTTAACTATCCTTGGATGTCTTTAGGGGTCGTTCTGAGGCCCTCTGGGATTCCAAAATCCACACACTTTAGGGTTCCATCTATAAAACAGTGTTGTATTTGCATGGAACCCACAGTCATCCTCTGTGGACTTCAGATCATCTCCAGGTGACTTAGAATACCTGATGCAATGCAAGCACTCTGTGGGCAGCTATTTTTTTTTTTTAAGATTTATTTATTATGTATACAGTGTTCTGCTTGCATGTATGCCTACAGGCCAGAAGAGGGCACCAGATCTCATTACAGATGGTTGTGAGCCACCATGTAGTTGCTGGGGATTAAACTCAGGACCTGTGGAAGAGCAGACAGTACTGTTAACCTCTGAGTCATCTCTCCAGACCTAGACTCTATTTTTTTAGACAAATATTTAGAAAGCAGTTTGAGTATGTGGCCATTTAGCAAAATAACAACAGTAGGTTCCCCTCTAGAGCCTGTGACCTGCACATTCATGAACTCATCAGGGTTACAGTACCAGGCACAAATTCCCTGCTGTGGAACAGCCCGTAAACTCATCAGTAAGCAGCTGGTGTACCCCATAAGTAATGCCAGTGAGCACATCCCTGCTGCAGCATGCAGGGACCAGCACTGGGCAAGACCATTGATATGTTCTGTGTTTTCTTTTCTGAGACAGACAGGGTTTCTCTGTGTAGCCCTAGCTGTCCTAGAACTCCCTCTCTAGACCAGGTTGGCCTCGAACTCAGAGATCTGCCTGTCCCAAGCGCTGGGATTAACAGTGTGTGTCACCACCACCCAGCTATATACTCTGTATTCTTTAGGAAAGAGACAAGGAGAAAGTCTGTATGTATATATTTAGGACATAGTTTTTAAAATATTTCCAGTCTTGGGTCTGGAGAGAGAGCAAAGCACTTAAGAGCACTTTTTGTTTGCATAGAAGACTTAGTTAGGTTCAGTCCCCAGCACCCACATGGTAGTTCACAACCTTCTGTAACTCCAGATCCAGGAGATCCAATGCCCTCTATGGTCTCCGAGGGTACCAGGCACCCATATGGCACAGAGACATACATCCAGGCACTAACAGATATACGTAAAATAAAAATAAATATTTTTAAAATATTTTTTCACTCTGTAGTCAGTTCAGTCCACAGGTACAGACTCTGAGGTGTGAAAGGTGAATTACAGTAAGAATATACCAACTCACCAGGCATGGTGGTACACTTGCAGCACTCATGAGGCAGAAGCAGGTGGATCTGTGTGAGTTCAGGATCAGTCTAGTCTACATAGAAAGTTCCAGGCCAGCCAGGACTACGGAGAGAGACCTCATTTCACAAAAACAACAAAAGACTATATCAAGTGTTTTATCATCACATGAGCACTCAGTAAGTGTGCACATTCCATATTATTAATAATGCTGAAGCTCTCTTCCTGATAGACATCAAAAACCTTAGAGCTGAGTGTGGTGGTGCATGCCTAGAAACCTGCACCCAGGAGGCTGGGGCATGAGTTTGGAGCTAGCCTGGACTAGAGTTAAACTCTGTTTAAAAGACATTTCAATTCTCAGCCAGAAATGGTGGCCTTTAATCCCAGCACTCTTGAGGCAGAGGTAGGCAGATCTCTGAGTTTGAGGCCTGCCTAGTTTCTAGAGCAAGTTCTCAGACAGCCAAGGCTACACAGAGAAACCTTGGGGGGGAGGAGGAGGCAGGGATCAAACTTTGATCTGTTTCAGGAGAACCTTCCTTCCACAGCCCCAACCCATGTTCCGTTGTTGGGATGTTGACAGTGTCATTGTCCTGCTCTGTTTATTCTACTCCCATTTCTACACTCAGCAGTCTCTTCCCCTGTGAAACGTGCACCACACTCCTCCTGCCTCGTTCAGTCATTGCTTGGCTCATGCGCAAGCTCCAAACTCCTGGTAAAGACCTGTGAGCTGCCAAACATCTACCACTCCTAGGACTGTCTCCTGACCAGTCAGGATCAACTGTTTGCAGCCTAGTTCCAGCTGCATCTGTCACCATGGCCACCCCTCCCCATTGATGCAATCTGGGTTTTCTGGCTCACTCTGCCCTTAACACACTTCTCAACACCTCCACTCCATGCACCCCAAGTTGTTCACTGCCTGTTTTATTTGCTGAGTGATGTTGGAGCTAATGGTTTCTAGATAGGACCAGATTCCAGCTCAGCCCCATCCAAGCTGGTTCATGAGGAACAAATGTCTTCCACTTTCTGCCTCAGCTTCCTGCTCTGTTAAATGGGGCTGATCTTGTTAGCCATCTCGGGTGCTGTAATGTATGAAGTCATGGGAGAGTCAGGAAGTGTGCAGTGAAGGCCAGTCAGGAGTGTGCAGTGAAGGTCAGTCAGGAAGTGTGCAGTGAAAGGGGTCAGGAAGTGTGGAATGAAGGGCAGTCAGGAAGGGTGCAGTGAAAGGGGTCAGGAAGTGTGGAATGAAGGGCAGTCAGGAAGGGTGCAGTGAAAGGGGTCAGGAAGTGTGGAATGAAGGGCAGTCAGGAAGGGTGCAGTGAAAGGGGTCAGGAAGTGTGGAATGAAGGGCAGTCAGGAAGGGTGCAGTGAAAGGGGTCAGGAAGTGTGGAATGAAGGGCAGTCAGGAAGGGTGCAGTGAAAGGGGTCAGGAAGTGTGGAATGAAGGGCAGTCAGGAAGGGTGCAGTGAAAGGGGTCAGGAAGTGTGGAATGAAGGGCAGTCAGGAAGGGTGCAGTGAAAGGGGTCAGGAAGTGTGGAATGAAGGGCAGTCAGGAAGGGTGCAGTGAAAGGGGTCAGGAAGTGTGGAATGAAGGGCAGTCAGGAAGGGTGCAGTGAAAGGGGTCAGGAAGTGTGGAATGAAGGGCAGTCAGGAAGGGTGCAGTGAAAGGGGTCAGGAAGTGTGGAATGAAGGGCAGTCAGGAAGGGTGCAGTGAAAGGGGTCAGGAAGTGTGGAATGAAGGGCAGTCAGGAAGGGTGCAGTGAAAGGGGTCAGGAAGTGTGGAATGAAGGGCAGTCAGGAAGGGTGCAGTGAAAGGGGTCAGGAAGTGTGGAATGAAGGGCAGTCAGGAAGGGTGCAGTGAAAGGGGTCAGGAAGTGTGGAATGAAGGGCAGTCAGGAAGGGTGCAGTGAAAGGGGTCAGGAAGTGTGGAATGAAGGGCAGTCAGGAAGGGTGCAGTGAAAGGGGTCAGGAAGTGTGGAATGAAGGGCAGTCAGGAAGGGTGCAGTGAAAGGGGTCAGGAAGTGTGGAATGAAGGGCAGTCAGGAAGGGTGCAGTGAAAGGGGTCAGGAAGTGTGGAATGAAGGGCAGTCAGGAAGGGTGCAGTGAAAGGGGTCAGGAAGTGTGGAATGAAGGGCAGTCAGGAAGGGTGCAGTGAAAGGGGTCAGGAAGTGTGGAATGAAGGGCAGTCAGGAAGGGTGCAGTGAAAGGGGTCAGGAAGTGTGGAATGAAGGGCAGTCAGGAAGGGTGCAGTGAAAGGGGTCAGGAAGTGTGGAATGAAGGGCAGTCAGGAAGGGTGCAGTGAAAGGGGTCAGGAAGTGTGGAATGAAGGGCAGTCAGGAAGGGTGCAGTGAAAGGGGTCAGGAAGTGTGGAATGAAGGGCAGTCAGGAAGGGTGCAGTGAAAGGGGTCAGGAAGTGTGGAATGAAGGGCAGTCAGGAAGGGTGCAGTGAAAGGGGTCAGGAAGTGTGGAATGAAGGGCAGTCAGGAAGGGTGCAGTGAAAGGGGTCAGGAAGTGTGGAATGAAGGGCAGTCAGGAAGGGTGCAGTGAAAGGGGTCAGGAAGTGTGGAATGAAGGGCAGTCAGGAAGGGTGCAGTGAAAGGGGTCAGGAAGTGTGGAATGAAGGGCAGTCAGGAAGGGTGCAGTGACGGTCAGTCAGGAAGTGTGCAGTGACGGTCAGTCAAGAAGTGTGCAGTGAAGGTCAGTCAAGAAGTGTGCAGTGACGGTCAGTCAGGAAGGGTGCAGTGAAGGTCGGTCAGGAAGTGTGCAGTGAAGGTCAGTCAGGAAGTATGCAGTGAAAGGGGTCAGGAAGTGTGCAGTGAAGGTCAGTCAGGAAGTGTGTAATGAAGGTCAGTCAGGAAGTGTGCAGTGAAGGCCAGGCAGGAAGTGTGCAGTGAAGGTCGGTCAGGAGGGGGGCAGTGAAGGCCGGCAGGGAGTGTGCAGTGAAGGTCAGTCAGGAAGTATGCAGTGAAAGGAGTCAGGAAGTGTGCAGTGAAGGCCAGGCAGGAAGTGTGCAGTGAAGGTCGGTCAGGAGGGGGGCAGTGAAGGCCGGCAGGGAGTGTGCAGTGAAGGTCAGTCAGGAAGTATGCAGTGAAAGGAGTCAGGAAGTGTGCAGTGAAGGCCAGGCAGGAAGTGTGCAGTGAAGGTCGGTCAGGAGGGGGGCAGTGAAGGCCGGCAGGGAGTGTGCAGTGAAGGTCAGTCAGGAAGTGTGTAATGAAGGTCAGTCAGGAAGTATGCAGTGAAGGTCGGTCAGGAAGTGTGCAGTGAAGGGGTTGCTTTTATGATCTCCTCCACATGGTCTAAGACAGTTTCCCAGGTCTCCACAGAGTGTACCCCAGAGGAGAAATACACAGCAACTGGCCATGGTACCCTGCATGAGACAAGCTTCATACAGCCAGCTGCCTGTCCTGGGCACTGTGGGACAGAGCCCAACTTCAGTTTTGTGTATCTTCTGAATCTTCCTTGAAGATACTTAAGAGTTAAAATTAACTAGAAATTGAGCCAGGAACGGTGGTGCACACCTTTAATCCCAGCACTCAGAGGGCAGAAGTGGGTAATCTCTGTGAGTTCAAGGTCAGGCTGGTCTCCATAATCCTAAAACAGCCAGATCTACATAGGGAGACTGGTCTTTAAAAAACTAATACAAGCTGTGTAGTGATGGCAGACACCTTGGGAGGCAGAGGAAGGATGATCTCTGAGCTTGAGGCCAGCCTGGTCTACAGGGTAAGTTCCAGGACAGCCAGGGCTGTTACACAGAGAAACCCTGTCTCAAAAAACAAACAAAAAATTCACTGGAAATTTATGATTGGGCTTTACACACTGGGCCAGCAAAAATTCCCTATAGTAGTATCAGGGTGTGAGTCAGGGGTAGAGCCTCTGCCTAGAATTCCCCAGTGAGGATTGTGGGTGTGGCTCAACAGTAGACAGTTACCACAGCATGTGTGAGGCCCTGGGCTCCTCCCTAGCACTACAAAGAGTTTACAAAGTGTGGTCCCCTTTATCTCAAGAGTTCATAACCGCTTGACCTGCCTGGAGCTGTGCGACGCTCGTGTGAGCTGGGTAGTGTGGCAGGACCATCCTGTGCTGTGGTCGTCTGGGCAGCTTAGTGCTGATCCTAACCAGCTCTGTGCTCTTCCATTTTGATCTTCTCCTTAGAGAGAACCAGGGCTCCGGGATCCCCATGTCTGGTCCCAACCTGTCCACCACCAGGCCAATCCAGCAGGACCTGGGCCGCCAGGACCTGCCACTGGCCGAGGACCTTGACAACATGAAGAATAACAAGTTGGCCACTGGGGAGCCTGCAAGTCCCCATGACAGCCTGGGCCACAGTGGCCTTCCCCCAAGCCCTACCAAGATCGGGAACAGCACCAACCCTGGTCCCACCTTGGCTACCAACCCCCAGAATGCTGCCAGCCGCAGGATGCCCAACAATCCGGGCAACCCATCTAACCCCGGCCCCCCCAAGACCCCCGAGAACAGCCTTATCGTCACCAACCCCAGCAGCACCCAGCCCAACTCAGCGAAGACTGCCAGGAAACCCGAGCACATGGCGGTGGAGATCCCCCCGGCCTGCCCGCCCCTCAACCACACTGTGGTCCAAGGTGAGGAGCTACAAGGTTGCCGCGATGTTTTCTCCACAGTCCCTGCTCAAAATTGTGAGAGGAAGAACATAGACCCTATGGGCAGCCCTCAGTGGTCTTGGCCTGTGGCCATACTCTGCACCCTGCCTTCCCTCCACAGAGCCCACACTGCCACAGTGGAGAATGGAATCCCCAAATGTAAACTGAGTACCTAGGGACAGCTTGGAGGGTTGGGTAGACCACTGCTGTCCAAAATACACAGCACAGCTAGAAGCATCATCATTGTAGACGGTTCAGTGGCACAGTAAGGAGGTAAGGCCTGAGGACCTGGCCCAGGTGGTAGAGTGCTTGCCTAGCACACACTCCAGCACCACAGACAGCCTGCAGTTGTGGTGGGTGGAGGCAGAAAGTTCAGAAGTTCAAGGCCACCCTTAGCTACATAGTGAATTTAAGGCCAGCCTAGAAGCCATCTCTGTTGGCAATGATAATGTCTTTATTTATCCCAAACATGTGTGTGTATCTGAACTGCTATTGTTGCAGCACACACTTCAGAGTGCTTACATGTTCTTCTCTTAGTCTGGGTAATCAGACGACTCACACACCAGTGTGGCCCCTAAAGACAACATGGTATAGGTTCCTGTGAGGAGGGAGTCAGTTTTTGGCTTGGGGTTGTTGTGTTTGAGATAGCATCTCACTATGTAACACAGGCTGGCCTTAAACTAGAAGTGAGCCTCCTGTCTCTCTTCCCCTTTGGTGGTAGAATCACAGGTGTGCACCACCACACCCAACTTCCCTGTATTGAGTCTTGGTAATGCACTAATTTTACTAATTTTCAGATGAAGAAACAGACCCCCAGGGAGGCTTAGCCTATCCACAAACAACTACACAGGACTGGAGAGCCTGCCCAGGAGAGAGGTGTCTCAGTCAAGACTGGGTGCTCTCACAGGGGTCTGAGTTTTCTACTCTATGAAGCAGGGCTGTAGGCAGCTGCCCCATGCAGGTCCTAGTCACATAAAAAAAAAAAAAAAAAAAAAAAAGGGAACCCCCCCGCCATTACCCTATAGAACGTTTGAGAACTGGCATTCTTGGGCCAGGTTGCCCAGTTCAACAACAAACAGCTCTGCAGCTTCTGAGTGTGTGACCTAACCACTTCTCTGTGCCTGGATTCCTTACCTGTCAGATGGAGATCATGGGCACCAAACCCACAGGATCGGGTAATGCCTGGAGCACAGGAAGCTCTTTCTCAAATGTCCTATGCTTAGTGTCAGCTCCAGGTATGACCAGGAGCCCAGAACTTTGTGGGAAATCATGGAGGAACCCCTGTTTATTCTTGTCCCAACAGTAAACAAAAATGCTAACCCAGACCCACTGCCAAAGAAAGAGGAAGAGAAGAAGGAGGAAGAGGAGGCAGATCCTGGGGAGGATGGCCCAAAACCCATGCCGCCCTACAGCTCCATGTTCATCCTCTCCACCACCAACCCGTGAGTACGGGGGCAGAGGCCTGGCCGGGCTCCCCAGGTGCACTGGGGCAGACAGTGGGCGATGTATTCTTGAGTCTGCAGAAGCCCTCTGGAACAGGAAACTAGAAATAAAAACTTCTCATAATATACTGCCCTGGAAAAGACCCTTCCTGCCATGAGACGGAAAACACTGCCATGAATACCGACCTGTGCCATGCTGGGAGAGGCTTTGGAAATGGCTGCCTTGTGCAGTTCACAGTGTGCCAACCATGCATGAGTCCTGTGCCTAACCATTGCAGCACAGAGTTGCGGACTCTGGGCCCTGCATGTCAACTTTTTCAAGTTCAGTTTTTTCCTTTACTAAACAAATGTTTAAGTGTCACTTAATGCCCAGTACTGTTCTAAGTACATTATAATTTTTTTAAAAATTCAGAATAGCCTCTTAACATTGGTACCTGCAGATCAGACTGCTTCCAATGGCCCCGGGTTTTGCTTGTTTGGGTGGTCCTGGACCAGGCAAGCACTCCACCAACTGAGCCCCAGCCCCAGATGCTTTCCTGTTGGTGGTGGAAGTGATGGGATCTAATTTTGGTTTTGTTTTTAATTTGATTTATCATTGTTGTGTGTGTGATGTGTGCTAGCCATGGCTCCCGTGTGGAGGTCAGGAGTCACTGGCCAGTTTCTTTCCGTCTCCATGTGGGCTCCAGTGATTGGGCACAGGGCGACAGGTTAGCAGGGCAAGCACCTTCACATCTCACTGCCTTGTCTTTTGCTTTGTTTAAAACATGTATTGTTAATGTTGTATTTGTGTGTATATGTCTTGTTTTGGATTGTATAATTTGTTGTGTGTGATTTGCTGGTGTGTGTGTGTGTGTTGTTGTTGTTGTTGTTGTTGTTGTTGTTGTGTGTTTTGTTTTTAGACCAGATCTTACTCTGTGACCACACTAGCCCTGAACCCATGCCATAGTCCAGATTGTCTTGAACTCTTAGTGATTCCTCAGCCACAGCCTCCCTTAGGCTTAGATTATAGGCAGGAACCACCACACATGGTTTCCTTTTTTAGACACTAGGATATTTCACACCTGGAAAACCTGGCCTTGAGATGGCTTACTGGGTAGAGGCAATGTTGTCAAGCCTGACAACCTGAGTTCAGTTCCCAGGACCCACAGAATCAACTCCCACAGTTGTTCTCTGCTCTGCACAGGCAAGCCGTGGCCCAATCATTGTCCCCCACCCACAGATAAATAATGTAATTAAAAGAGTAAATAAATGACATTGTCCTATGTCCTGCAGAATCGTTAGTAGTAGTGACTTCATTTAGCCTGGGAAGCCAAGTATCCCAGCTGTTTGGAGGGCAGGAACTCAGTCAGCAGCACTGGACTACGGGCCCTACTCAGTGCCCCACTGAGAGTGCTTGACAGACGGTATGGGTGGGACGGTGAAATTGGACAGTGGGCCTGTAGGTGAGGGGAGGAGAAGCGCCCCCGAGCCTGCAGCCTGAGTGGCTCCCTGCTCTGCCCGCAGCCTTCGCCGGCTGTGCCATTACATCCTGAACCTGCGCTACTTCGAAATGTGCATCCTCATGGTCATCGCCATGAGCAGCATCGCGCTGGCCGCTGAGGACCCCGTGCAGCCCAACGCGCCCCGCAACAACGTGAGTCCCGCTGCTCCCACCAGAGACAGCAGACCACAGACAGCCCGCCTCTGAGCCACGTCCACCCCTCACAGCAGGGGTTCTAGGAGGGGCTCCGCCTCTGAGCCACACCCAGCCCTCAGGATTCTAGGGGGGGGCTCCGCCTCTGAGCCACGTCCACCCCTCACAGCGGGGGTTCTAGGAGGGGCTCCGCCTCTGAGCCACACCCAGCCCTCAGGATTCTAGGGGGGGCTCCGCCTCTGAGCCCCCCCCAGCCCTCAGGATTCTAGGGGGGGGCCCCGCCTCTGAGCCACGTCCCCCCCTCACAGCAGGGGTTCTAGGAGGGGCTCCGCCTCTGAGCCCCCCCCAGCCCTCAGGATTCTAGGGGGGGGCCCCGCCTCTGAGCCACGTCCCCCCCTCACAGCAGGGGTTCTAGGAGGGGCTCCGCCTCTGAGCCACACCCAGCCCTCAGGATTCTAGGGGGGGGCTCCGCCTCTGAGCCCCTCAAATGGCCAACAGGTCCTTTCTAAGGGAGGCTGGGGCCATGGAAGGTTGGAAGCGGACTGACTCTAGTGACATGTTCAGTAATTACCAGCCCTGGAACCTGTAGCTCCCGCCTCACCCACCACACACACACACACACACACACACACACACACACACTCTCAGTGTCCTGGATGGATCTTGGAGCAGGGACAAAGGCCATTTTTGCTAATCCAGGCAGAAACAACTAGATGAGGAAGAGATGGTCCATCATCCCAGACTGAGTTGTACCTTCAAAGTGAAAGAAAGCCATATGCCCAGGTGGCCCCAGAGTTTAGAAGATGCTCCTGGAAACAGGAGAGTCATAGACACTGGCCAGTCAACCCCATCACTCTAAGGACAGTCACCCCAAGGTGGAATGGACTCCTCCAAGGCCCTCGTAGTCCACAAGGGGCTTGGAGTATGTGAAAAAAACACTCATGGTGACCAGCCTTCAGCAGATTGAGTCGGTAGGACTTGATGCCATCTGCTGGACACTTTTATTCACAACCTACACATCTTTAATCCTGCTGGGTGAAGAAAGCTCTGCTTTGGGGAATTTTCAGAGTGTTCCCACACCCCAGAGGGTTACTGGTAGGTTTACCAGGAGTTGTTGGAGCAAGCCTGTGATTGGTCCCCTGCCCTCTGTCTGTCCCTGCAGGTGCTGCGGTATTTTGACTACGTTTTTACAGGCGTGTTTACCTTTGAGATGGTGATCAAGGTAAGAACAGTATTGGGACTTGCACAGACCTTCAGAGAGGAGAGAGGCTCAATCCAAGAGTAGACGTGTTGACTGTGTGTGAGGGGCATTCACCAGGCAGTGTGGCGGAGAGAGGAAGTGAGGACAGGGGAGTGCAGGTCAGAGCAGGGAGGTGAGGCTTGACCATGCCTGGGAGGACTTTAGTGTAGACACCAAAGCAAGTGAGAGCCCTGGAGAGCTCTGGCAGAAGGGACTCTGCTTGAGCACTCTCGAGCACCCTCTGGCTGTTGTCAGGTGCCACGACACATTGTCAGAGACCAAGTAGGCCATGATGAGGGCAGGATCGTGGAGGAAGTAAGAGGTGGACAGCGCCTTGGGAGGCTCCAGATACAGGGTCTGCAAGTCTTGCTGATGTTTGCTGTCCTATGCTGGTTGAGGCAAAACACACCTTGAGACTTAGACTTGAGAGCTATCAAACCAGACTCCCTTTCTCCCAAAGGGCCACCTGTCATCTGGGATATGAGGTCTTGCCAGCCCCTCCTTCCCCAGGTGGGTGTTGTTCTAGGGGAGGGTTGAGGGCTCTGAGCAAACTGTCTTCTCCCTCTAGATGATCGACCTGGGCCTGGTCTTGCATCAGGGGGCCTACTTTCGTGACCTATGGAACATTCTGGACTTTATAGTGGTCAGTGGGGCCCTGGTGGCCTTTGCCTTCACGTAAGTCTCCATGCAAAGCTCCCCCACCCCCAGTCTGAGAACCACTGTCCATATTCTGGAGTTCCAAGATGGGAATGAGAGCTATGGGCCAGCAGGGATGGGAGTATGCCCAGTGGAGCTGCAGCTAGCTTTATGCATGCCATCACCATTAAGAAAGGACGGAAGGGACCAGAGCCACCTTCCACTCCTCCCACAGCAAGGTGGTAGCCTCTTGCTGTGCTGCTTCTGGTATTCTTGCCTCTGGGGACATCTCATCTCCCTCCCCACAATCCCCCTACATGTTGTCTCTTTGGGGTAACCCTGAAAAGACAACCATAAAGCAAGTATGCATGAGACCCCCCCCCATCCCACCTGTGCACCAAGACTACACCACATACCTGGCAGCCTACTTCTCTGTGTGTCTCTGTCCTCCCAAGGCTCCTGGGATGCCCTGCCCTCAGCAAAGGCATAACTATGGAACCACTCCACGTCCTAGTTGCAGGTTGTAGTTTCAAATATGGCTCCCAATTTCTGAATGACCATTTAAAATGGCAACCATTTCAAGATGACATCCAAGTTGAGTTACCATTCCAAACTAGCCCCTACTTCATAGTAGTGGTGGAGAGCAGGGCAGCCATTCTAAGATGGCCTGTGAATTCTTGTCGTCATTCCAAGATAAAATTACAGGGTCTAGGGGCCAATGCAAGATGGTGCCTAGGCCTGGCGATGGTGGTGCCCACCAAGATGGTGCCTAAGTTCTAAACAGCTGTTCTAAAACGATTCCTTAGGCCTGGGCAGGCATTCTAAAATGGAGTCCAAGTTCTTGAAAACCATTTCCAAATGGTGCTCAAGAAGCAAACAGTCATCCCAAGATGGCAGTTGAGTTCTAGGAAGCCATCTCAAACGTGATCAAGGGACAAGAAGCAATTCCAAGATGTTAACTGAAATCTCACCATCATTCCAAGATGGTGCCTAAGTTCAGAAGGGTCATTTCAGAGTATCATCAGAGGTCTGTACATCCACTAAACGTGGTATCTCGTGTTTCTAGCCATTCTCAAAAGCACATGAGCTCTGCCAGCCAGAGATGGAGCCCAGTTTAGGTCTAGGTGGCAAGGGCGCCCCGAGATCCCTGGCAGCACACGCAATAGGGCCATCTCCCACCACAGACATCTATAACAGACATCTATAACCTAACTTTCTCCTTGTCCAGAAATCCGTCTTGGCAACCAAAGCTGTGCCTATCACATGAGTCATTCCCAGAAAGGAAGGTCTCACAGGGTCTCTGACCCACCTCACCCAGCACAGACAGCTGAGGGTTTCTTTGGGCTGTCTCACTGGCTGCCTCCTCAATAGGTGTAGCCTCTCGGCCTGCTCCCTCACCTGGCACTGGGTGCCTGTTTCGTCACAGAGGGCCCGGACTGTTACCCATTTCCAGGAGAAGGGCTGCAATAGGCCCTCCCAGGTTACCCCCTTGGTACAGCAAGCTGTGGTTGTTTCCATAGCCTGCAAGCCTGGCTTGGCCAGACTCCTAGCCCTCTTTCCTTTTTGTCCACCCTCCTGCCTCTCTCTTTCCCTGTCCTCCTTATATTCTCTTCTCTCCTTCTCTTTTTTCTGGTCCTGAGGGTGGAGCCCGACCTTTGCACAAAGCCCTGAGCAGCACTCCCAGCTCTAGAGTTGAGTTTTTAATGTTCTTGTGAATTCAGTGCAGACGTAGTGCTACCCTGTGCTTCTAGTTTTTAACTTTTTTTTTCCAATTCTTATGAAAGAGAAGGTCAGACCAGGGACGTCCATGTGCCTGTGCAGGCTGATAATTCTAACAGAAAGTGGCGATGAAAACATGGGCCAAGGATTATCTTGGAATTTTGGAAGAACTTGGAATTGTGGACCTTGCTATGGGATGGGAGAGGAAACCTCCTGACCACCTACCATGCCCCTACCTCACTACCAAGAATCCACTTAGCCCTGTGACTTGCTTCCCAAGAGAAATTTCAGAACCTCCCTTGTTCCCAGATCCCCAACAACAAGCTTCTGCTCACTGTACCTGAGGTGTTCTAACTTGTGAAGTCTTTGCTTGGTGTCTCCTTGTTGATGTCATGGCAGAGCATCAGCTTGCTGTTTTCCTTTCCTTTGTCTGTCCCATGGGCCTGTCTGCTCGTAGATAAGGAGGAAACCCCAGCAGGCGTGAGCAGTGCCTCCCCACTGGGTGCGGTAGCAAGTGGAAGGTTGAGGCAGGAGGATTGCTGATCTAAAGCCAACCTGGGCTATGGAAAAGGAAGGAAAGAAGAAATGGTTCCCCAAGTCTGGTAGCCTCAGTTTCCCCATGCAGCAGGCTCAAATGAGAGGAAACACCTTGTGCCTATCATCTGTGATGCTGTTGTACCAGGGTAGTGATCCACACTCCACAGATGAAAATCTGAGGGCTGATGTGGGGTGTGTAGAGAATGGAATCTAGGTCCACAACCTGTCTGGAAGGAGGCCGAGGAGCAGGAATGAGAGGGAGAGTGGCTGCTCCCTTCTTGCGTATGAAAGATTGAGGGAAGGACTCTCATTGTCTGCCTGTGCTCTTCCAGGGATGTGCTGAAACCCCACCCTCCTTATCCACATCTGTATGTGTGGCTGGTGTAGGTATAGGTGTGGTGTGCATATGTGTGCTCTCTGTCCACTAACCACCCTCCGTCTTCCATGCACCATCATTAACGAGCCATCTCACCAGCTGTCACCATGAGGGACATCATGCTCAGTGCCCATGCTTTGGAGCAGCCAGCTGACATCCCACAGCAGCTGCTAGGTCATGATGCCAATCTCACTGCCAAGAGGCCATCTGGCACCACCACCCCTCCCCGCAGGGCAGGTCTTCAGCCCTGCGTAGCTGGCAGAGTGTACCTTGATCAAGCTGCTCCTGCACCCTCAAAGCCACACTCCCAACAAATAAACAAGAGGCCTTCCAGCCACACCCTCAAAACAGCCCTGTCCCAGAGGAAGGAAGGTTCAGGCTCATGATGCACACACGTGGGTTTGAATCTCAGTCTGCCACTTTCTGGCTGTGCACTTGGAGAAGTCACTCTCTCTGTCTGGGCTTCAGCTTCCTCATCTGGAAAATGGGCACAGTGGTGCCATCCTCCTGCAGGTAACTGCAGTGACACAAAACTCAGTAGCACATTAGGGGAAGTCGGGGGTGGAGGTGGGGGTGGAGCTCAGTGACAGTGCCAGCCTGGTGTTCAGGAACTCTGGGTTCAAACAAAAGATGAGGTAGATGCCAGTGCCATCGGAAGCATCACTAAAACCCATGGGGAAGGGCCTGTAGACTTAGAGGTAGGTCTGAGAGCCCTGGACCTCAGGAGGAGGCTCAGTAGAGATATTTGTAGACATTAGGCCAATCATTGTTGAGAAAATGGCTAGGCATAATGTGATGCCTAGAATCTCAGCTCCTCCGGAAGGTGTGGCTCAGAGGGAGAGCCCCTGCCTAGAATCCCCCAGGGAGGGTCTGGAGGCAGCTCAGCAGCAGAATGCTGTCCTAGCATGAGTGAGGCCCTCTCTTCCAGACAACTTCACCCACCAGAGTGACATGCACATCTACATCCCAGCTGTTTAGAAATTTGAGGCAGGAAAATTAGTTGTTCAGGCATGAGTCAGTATAAGCCGAGGTGGAGGGTACTGATACTGAAGCATCATAAAGACAAGCCCATTTTCCAGATGAAGCCTGTTGGCAGTCAAGGCAGCATTCAAATTTCCATTTTCTTCCCATGAGCCTCAGCTACAGCAGAGGTTCGGTACCAGGACCGCTGCAGGAAGCAATCCTGCTCTTGGCAGTGACTGAGTGGCAAGTTCACCCAGGGTAATAGACAACCCTGGAGCTGCCTCACTCCTTGGAAATTTGCCTTTTTGAGCTACTGTCAGGGCCATGCCCTGCCCAGTGCAGAGACTGAAGGAGGGGCTGCTCCTCTGGTCCCTGGGTTCCCAGTGCCCATGTGTGTCTGTGCGTGTCCTGTGTTCTCTCTGAGGCCACTCACGATTTGTCTCTCCTTCCGACGCCACCTCACCAGGAGCAGTACACGGTACTGATTCTTATTTCTACCCAGAAGTAGAGGAAATCATTCATGTTGTTGGGTCTTAATCTCTTAGAGGTCTCTCTCTCTCTCTCTCTCTCTCTCTCTCTCTCTCTCTCTCTCTCATTCTGTCTTGTCTCCCATGCCCCGTTCCCAGCCATGTTGGTTCTGGCCTTCTTTTTCTGTGGCCTTTGTTCTTGCTGGTGTCCTGTTGCTTACCATGACCAGAGCCTGCTCCCAAGGGGTGGCCGAGTCACAGGGCTCACAGTGTCACCTGCCACTGTGACCCACTAGCTCTTACCTAGAACAGAAAGAGCAAGAAGTGTTCTTCCTCACATGTGATGTAGCAGGGCCAAGGAGCTGGGGAGAGTAGCCACCAGACCAGCTGCAGTGTAGAAAATGGGCTTTCTGGGGAGGAGGTGGCCATTACACTGAGAAGCATCTGCCTGACACTTCTTTCTAGCCCACTGTGGTAGCACATACCTAGCACTCAGGGACAGAGGCAAGAGAATCTTGAGTTTTAAGTTAGCCTGGTTTACATACTGTGTCCATGCCTTAAAAACAATAAGATATATACATATGCATATGTATATATGTATATATATATGTGTGTGTCATTGTTCTTCTTTAATACATAACAAGCAGTTAAAAATAAGAAACACCGATCAGTGGACAAAAGTATATAAGTGGAAATATCAGGGCTGTGTGGTGGTGGCATATGCCTTTAATCCCAACACTCAGGAGGCAGAGGCAGGTAGATCTCTGAGTTGGAGGCCAGCCTGGTGTTGTACATAGTTCCAGACCAGCCATAGCTACATAGACAGATCCTTTCGAAACAAAAAAGACACCTTAGTTGATAAACTGTTTGTCATGCAAACATGAGGACCCAAGTTGAGTCTCTAGACCCCATGTAAAAAACCTGGCATGGTGGCATACACATATAAACTAAGCACTGGGGATGGACAGAGGCAGATCCCTGGGGCTTGCTGGCCATCCTGCCTCAAAATATGAGGTGGGTGACACCTGAAGAATGTCACCTGAGGTTGACTTGTCTCCACACACCTTCACACATCCATAGGTTCCTGCTCACATCTACACAGACATACATGCACACATACCAAGAGGAGAAAAAAATCGGCTGAGAGGGCTGGAAGCACAGCAGCTTACACACGCACATGCACACAGCCATAACCAGCTTTCCTCACCATGCCAGGAAATGGTGCTGTCCACCAGAAACCCTGGTGCTAGGCACCTCTGCCCGTGACTTGGGCAGTAACTGATAAGAACATGTTTGTCACTGGGACTGCAGGCTTGGTCCATTCCAGTGTCCTGAGACCTCATACCATTCGTGAGTTGGCAGCTGGGACAACAGCCAAGGTTAAAGAGAAAACGCAGAATGCATCACAAGTTGGGCCTCTGAGGGGGGCACAGCCCTTGTCTAAGTCAGATCTCTCCAGAAATAACACCAGACGCTGGCAGAGCCCAGAGTGGTTGAGGGAGGCATCAGGAAAGGGAGGTGAGCGTGTCTGGGGATGGTGTGCAAAGGGAGGTGAGGCACACCAGTCATCCCAACACTCAGGAGCACGGCGTCAGATGATCTCAAGGCAGCATGGGCCACATGGTGAAACCTTGTCTCAAGGAAATTTGAGGAAGGAAGAAAGGAAGAAAGAAAGAAAGAAAGCTGGCATGATATCTAAACTAGTAAAGGCACTTGCCACCAAGCCTGGCAACCTAATCCCAGTTCCTGGGATCTTTATGGTGAAAGGAGAGAACCAAATCCCAAATGTTCTCACATGCTGTGACATGTATGCCCACAAAATAAACAAATGGAATTTAAAAGGTTTTTTGGCTAGCCAGGTGGTGGTGGTGGTGCATACCTTTAATCCCAGCACTCAAGAAGCAAAGGCAGGTGGATCTCTGTGTTTGAGGCCAGCCTGGTCTACAGAGTTAGTTCCGGGACAGCCAGGGCTACACAGAGAAACCCCTTCTCTAAAAACAAAAGTTTTTGGCAGGACATGATGGTATGCACCTTTTAACCCAGCATTCAGAAGGGGAAACAAAAAAAAGCCAACCTGGCCTACATTGTCTGTTCCAGGGCTACACAGTAAGACCCTGTCTCCAAAAAAAATTTTATTAGAAAGCCAGGGACTGTGGCCAGAGGTTAGGCTGTGCAGCAGTGAGTTGGGCTAGACTGCAAAGGGCCTTGGTATGCCAAATCAAAAAGTCTGCCTTGCTCTTTAAGAACTCAGATTTGGGGAGGATCCTCAGTAGAATGAAATGGTGATCGGTATGTGTAAAAAGACAGAAAATAGAAAGATGGTCCGGGTGTTGGTGGCACACACCTTTAATCCCGGGAAGCAGAGGCAGGCAGATCTCTGTGAGATTGAGACCAGCCTGGTCTACAAGAGCGAGGGCCAGGATAGGCTCCAAAGCTAAACAAAAAAATCCTGTGTCAAAAAAAAAAAAAAAAAAAAAAAAAGAAAGAAAGAAAGAAAAGAAAAGAAAAAGAAAGAAAAGAGATGTGTGAGGTGATAAGGTCTGACTAAAAAGCCACCCCCTCCTGCCCCCAGTGAACAGTGAACACTTGGAGCAGCACCCTCTGGGGCTTGGGTGTGAAGACATCAGACAAATGTGACTCTAGGATTTGTGTTTGGGCCCTGGGTAAGGCGGGGGACCACATAGGCCCCTCCCCAGCCTGACTTCCACTCCATCTCCTCCCTCCCCAACCCTGACATTCCCCCGGCAGTGGCAATAGCAAAGGAAAAGACATCAACACCATTAAGTCTCTACGAGTTCTTCGGGTGCTACGACCTCTAAAGACCATCAAGCGACTGCCGAAGCTAAAGGTGAGACTGGGGTTGGAGGAGAGATCCCTGGGGCTGGGGCTGGAAGAGAGAAAAGTCCCTGGGGCTGCGGCTGGGGCTGGAAGAGAAAGAGGTCCCTAGGGCTGGGGTTGGAGGGAAGGTCACACATTGCTCCAGAACACCACACTGAGAAACAGACCATGGTGTACACTTGGGATCCCAACACTTGTGGCTAAGGGAAAACAATTCCAACTTAAAGGTAAGCCTGGATCCACAGGGGACCCCTGTCTCAAACACATTGAGGGAGCCAGGCAGGGGTGGCGCACACCTTTAATCCCAGCTCTTGGGAGGCAGAGGCAGGTGGATCTTTGTGAGTTCAAAGCCAACCTAGTCTACAGAGTGAGTTCTAGGACAGCCAGGGTTACACAGAGAAACCCACGTTGAAGGAGATGCTAGTTACTTCATAGCTTTGTATATGGGGGTACTTACTAGACTTGTCCAGCAGATGGCAGCAAAGGGGTTGGCTGGCAGAATCTGCCCTAAGTCAGCTCAACTCCTTTTGGTGGGTCAGCGGCAGAGACAGGGTAGACCCCGGTTGAGGAGGCACTAGTTCCAGGCCAGCAGAGCTATCTACAAATGTGGGACATGGGGATGTATCTCAGTTGGCAGAGTGCCTAGTGTACAAGAAGCACTGGGTTCCATAGCCAGTGATTTGAATTGTGGTGGAGGCAGAGGATCAGAAAATCAAGGTCATCCTTTTAAGGCCCACCTGGGCTACATGAGACCCTGTCCAGAAAATGGCTGTGAAGTGCCTGGAACAAGACACCTACTGTGTGCACAGCCACCATACTGATGTTAGGGACAAGGATAGGAAAAGTCCATCTTCCTCCAATATTTTCAACCCAGCTGTTAGAGCCTACAGGTGCCTCAGGTATAGAGGGAGCAGCCGTGCTTCCAACCTCACGCCTCTTCTTCTGACGCAGGCTGTGTTTGACTGTGTGGTGAATTCCCTCAAGAACGTCTTCAACATCCTCATTGTGTACATGCTCTTCATGTTCATCTTTGCTGTGGTGGCTGTGCAGCTCTTCAAGGGCAAGTTCTTTCACTGCACAGATGAGTCCAAGGAATTCGAGAGAGACTGTCGGTGGGTGGGCCATGACTTCTGGGACACCATGGCAGACAGGGGAGGGTGAGGTATGAGGTCGGTGGTCCAGACACTGAGGCAGAGAAATGACTCTGAATCAGCTTGGGTCTGGAGTGGGATTTGTAAAGCTGGGTGTAGCAGTACACACCTAGGACCTCGGCACTCAGAGGCTGAGGCAGGGTGATTGCCCTGAACTTTGAGACCAACCTGGCTTACAGAGTGAGCTCTAGTCTCAAAAAATATTGTGCATGCTTGGTGTGTACAAAGCAAGGTGCAGGCCCACTCCCTGGCATGAAAAGTTAGTAACAAGGAAGAAGTAAAAGACCTTTGTGACTCGTGAGGCACAGACCTGTCACCCCAGCCCTCAGCAAGCTACGATGGGAGGGTGGAGAGGTCCAGACCAGCCTGAGCTACACAGAGAGACCCTGTCTCATAAAAGCAAATGGGAAACAGTTTGAGAGTTTGGGTCCACAAACAAGGTTAAGCCATTCTCCTAATTTCCCAGGGACTTGATTAGGTGGGGCTCTTAACACGAAGCCATAGTCCCTCCTTGGGTCCTGTCTGAGCAACTCTGTTCAGATGCTTTCCGGGTGCAGTGGCACAGGCCTGTCATCCCACTGCTTGGGACACTCAGGCAGTGAGAGCCAAAATTCCCCACCAGCCTGGGCTATATTATGAAACCCTGTCATACAAAGAGGATCCTAGACCCTTGGGTGGTATTTGAAACTCACTCCTTCCTGCTCTGAAAGGAGTAGCTGTTGCCTTTTGCAGTGTAAGTGCCCTCAAGTAGAGTGTCCCTGTGTTTGCCTCCCCGTTCTGTCTGTGTCCCCATACCCACACTCAAGCCAGGGTCTCGGCTCCCACAGGGACAGCGCTGTGCGCCTCCAGGCAACACAAATGGCCTTAGGGAGGTGGTGGCGCCCTGCTGACTAACCAGCTCTCTGTGACAGAGGCAAGTACCTCCTGTACGAGAAGAACGAAGTGAAGGCCCGGGACCGGGAGTGGAAGAAGTATGAGTTCCACTACGACAACGTGCTCTGGGCCCTGCTTACTCTCTTCACAGTGTCCACGGGCGAGGGCTGGCCGCAGTGAGTGGCCCACACTGAAGGGCAAGGGCTGGGACCCCAGGAGCGGGGAGCAGGGGGCGGGGGACAGTAACAGGTGCCAGAGTCTGGCCTAGCTGTTGGGAAGCCCAGGTTACTGCTCCAGCAGCACAGATACAAACACAAACTTAGAAACAACAGCCTTACTGTCATGGGGGCCATGACTTTAACCCTAACATCCCTACTGACAGAAACAGGGGGTTCTTTGTGAGCTTGATGCCACAATTGAGCTCTAGCTGGGGCTGCACAGTGAGACCCAGCAGCCACATGAGATTTGGTGCCCTCTTCTGGTGTGCATGCATACATGCAGGCAGAACACTGTATACATAATAAATAAATCTTTAAAAAATAATTTTAAAAATAAAAGCCAGGCGTTGGTGGCGCACGCCTTTAATCCCAGCACTCGGGAGGCAGAGGCAGGCGGATCTCTGTGAGTTCGAGGCCAGCCTGGTCTCCAGAGCGAGTGTCAGGATAGACTCCAAAGCTACACAGAGAAACCCTGTCTCGAAAAACCAAAATAAAATAAAATAAAAATAAAAATTAAGAAGAAAGAAAGAGCCTTGGTGCTGAGGGGATGAGTCAGTTGGTAAAATGCCTGAGTTTGAATTCCATCACCCACAGAACAGCCAGGCATGGAGACATACACCTCAAACCCCAACACTAATCCTAGGAGCTCAGTGGCTATCCAGCCTAGCTAAACCAGCAAGCTCCAGGTTCAATGAGAGACCCTGTGTCCAGGAATAAGGCAGGGTCAGCAAGGTAGCTCAGCAGGCAAAGGAGCTGGTGGAAGGAAGGAACCAACTCCCAAAAGTTATCTTCTGACCTCCATATGGCACACACAAACAAATACATTTAAATGTGGGGCCCAGTGGGCAAGAGTGCTTGCAATTCTTTTGGGGTTTTTTCGAGGTAGGGTTTCTCTGTATTACTTTGGAGGCTGTCCTGGAACTCCCTCTGTAGACCAGGCGTGCTTGCAGTTCTTATAGAAGACCTGAGCAGTTCCCAGCACCCAAGTCTGGTGGCTCATGCCACCTGCTCCAGGGGATTCAGCATGTCCTCTGGCCTCTGTGGATGCCTGCACTCATCTGCCTCATATGTGCACTCACACACAATTAAAGATAAATTGAAACCAGGCAGTGGTGGTGCACAACACTCAGGAGGCAGAGGCAGGTGGATCTCTGTGAGTTTGAGGCCAGCCTGGTCTCCAGAGTGAGTGCCAGGACAGCCTCGAAAGCCACAGAGAAACCCTGTCTCAAAAAGCCAAAAGGAAAGTCATAGTCACACAGAAATGATTTGTCCAAACAAGGTACCCATGTTCACCACAGTGAGCATACACATTTACCACATAGGCACTTCTTAGACACCAATCTCTTTCATTGATTAGAGATTATTTACAGAGCAAAAAACAGTCAATGAGCACTGCATTCACCAGACACAACGTGGGGGGGGGGTGATTAGAACATGCGTTCGAGTGCTGGGAATAGAACCAAGGGCCTCACACATTCAAGGCACCAAGCCCCACCAAGAGAATTTTTGCACAGTGCACACCCTGTAATCTCTTTGACCACACTCCTACACTCATTGCTCCTGAACCTCCTTCACACCCACCACCACCTGTGTGTAAATGCCCCACCTACTGACTGGCGTCTGCTTCCAAGATGCCCTACCTACTCTGTCACCACAAACCTGGCTCTAGATGAGTGGTTTTTAGAAGAGTCTCCAGGAATGTCCAGCATCATCTGGCACATAATCAAACCCGTGCTTCTCAGAAGGCATTGACTGGGTTTATTTCTTTTCCATTCCTCTTGTTCTCTCCACTCCTGTGCCTCTGCCCTCCCCATCCCCTCTCCTGTCTCCTTCCCACACTTCACAGGGTCCTCAAGCACTCTGTGGATGCCACTTTTGAGAACCAGGGCCCCAGCCCCGGGTACCGCATGGAGATGTCCATCTTCTACGTGGTGTACTTTGTAGTGTTTCCCTTCTTCTTCGTCAACATCTTTGTGGCCTTGATCATTATCACCTTTCAGGAGCAGGGGGACAAGATGATGGAGGAGTACAGCCTGGAAAAAAATGAGGTACACAGACCTTCTCTCTCTCTCTCTCTCTCTCTCTCTCTCTCTCTCTC